AGTGAGATCAGTCACAAACATGTGAAGGATTACTTCACGTGTAAATGTCTGTTCATTAGTAGACGGAGCTTTTTAATATCGTTGGTCTTTATTAGCTGATAAATACGCTCATAAAGTCATAAAGTCGTCTGCTGTTAGAATTTACACTGAGTTTGAGAAAATGTTTAGGCCTGAATCTGAAATCTTGTGACCATGCCAGAATGTCATTTAGATTTTCTGGAGGAAAATTAATTGTTTACATTACTTGACTATTTGATAAAATAGTTGATAGATTAACCGATAGAAAAATAGTAGTTAGTGGCAGCAGTGCAATGTTTCCTCTCTGATCCATGTGTTATTTTCACAGTATGGACTAAGAGAGCTCTGAGCTCAGCTGCAGTAACTGTTGTGAGCAGTGGACTTACGCTCTCACTTCATCCTCTCTGTAGAAGATCTCAGGCACCGTCTCCTGTTTCTTGGTGCTGGGTCTGAAGTGTGGCTTCACGTGAAGCGGGTCCCTCTTCGGTGGAAAAGCCTGGTAGACATCATACCAGACAGGTTTCTCTGATGGCTTTATGACTCCGGAGCGCATCAGGTCTCGAACCCTGGCGATCAAGGCCATCACACAAATGATTTGACATGGCAGAGGTGAACACACAGATAAATAATTCATTTCCAAATTCAAATCAGCGGCGGTTTTTATACAGCTGACTAACATTTGGGTCTCAAGTACATAAAACTATAAATTTATACTATTTTTCCTTATCTTACAACTGAATAAGTGTCATATAATCAGTATACACACACTGCAGCACTGTGATTGGTTTTACTGAGGTGTCTCACTCTCATTAGTCTGAGTTTAGGACCAAACATGTCTGACACGTTTTATACATGTAAAACAAACATACGTCAGTCCTGTTCACACGCCTGTGTCATCACTGTCCATACTGTTGGAAATATTATCATCACTATAAATGACCATCAGTTCATCTTAGCTGTGTTTCATTTGGTACTACGTCTTCATTTCCAGCCTGAAAAGCAACCGGACGTCAGGTCAGCGTGCTAACATAACTGAACGCAAGCTAATGATGCTAATGGTAGCATCACAGCTAATGCAGGGACTGTGTGTTTTATTCGAGGATTTCTGACTCAAGACACGGCCTTGTGTGTCCGAGTAACCGGCTCGTGTGTTGTGGTAAACAGCACCGTGTGTACGTTTGACCCACGGTTAATGCGACGTCCTACAGGTCGCCCGGGCTTTAGCTAACACCGTCATGTTGCTATCCGCTGTTAGCTGCCGAGAGACCGGACGTTCACGAGCACTAACACCGTGAAATGCTGCTCTTACCGGGTGAATACGGTTCCAAACTTCTCTAGTCTGCTGCCCGCCATTTGACTTTTCTCATCGACAGCCGGAGGTCAGCGCCGCACACTGAAACAGAACTGTGTCCTCTAGCTAATACTAGTCAGACACATCCGGCAGGATTTTCAGAATAAAAGTGTGAACCTGCTCGCTGTTTATAGTAAAAGGAAGACAAAACAGCTGTGCGTGAATTAAAGTTTATATCATTTATTTAAAAAAAAGGCGGTTCTTTTGATTTGTGCATAATGAATAAACGAATAATTGATTTTTGGTGTGATTGGTTGTCTTCCACCTTTCCAACAGTTCTGCACCGCCGACCTACGGAAGAGCAGTAGGGCCATATATAAAAAACAAAACAAAAAAAACGACAACGACAAAAAAAAAGACAGAAAGATCTGATTGGGTGACTATTTTTGATGGTTTCAGCTTCTGCTCTGAAGCTCCTCTAGCAGCCGACCCCCTCTGTTGGCCAAAACAAGCGCAACGCTAGACATCTACCTGTCTGCTCTGCAGCCTCTTTCCCTCAGGTTTTTAATTCACGGAAAAAACGAGGACATTTCCAGGGACTGCTCCGACTGGGGACAAGACACCAAAAACAGCAACTGTTCCCGGAAAATGGGGACAGTTGGTCACCCTAGCCCAGACTCTGAGTGTCCTTTTGTCTGTAGACCACCGACATTGGGATGAAGCACTTCTGCCAGAAGAACTTCAAAATAAAAGACCCATAACGTTGCAAAAGGACTAACAAAATAAAAGCTTAAAGGAAGTGGTTACCATATTAATAGACCTGTTAAGAGTCATTTACAGAAATAATAAATTAAATACAAGAAAATGAAATCAGTGGATTCATGTGTCACACTACTTGAAAAAATCTAGACAAAGCGGTTAACATGGAGCAAATTCTATTACTGAATATCAACATTGTTCAGTACATAGTGAATCATATTACAGTGTAATGTTACGACTGGTTTTGTTTCTGTTTATGTTAAAATGACCAATGTCCAGCATTGAAGCATATTGGATCTATGTAGGAGCAGTTTTAGTTAGTGTTGGCAGACTATCTTATTTTTTATTTTGGCTTTAGATTTCATTGTTGATTTGGACACATGGTGGCAGTAATGGGAGACACACACAGGATATATGTTGGGTATAGGTGGGAGGAAGTAGGTAGGCACAGGAAGTGGGAGAGCACACAAGTTTTCACCAGACCTGAGGCAGAAAGAACAAAGGAACAACACCTGTAAAGAAAAAAGTGATATGTTTGAAACCTTCGGCATTATGTCAATAAATGACAATTAAACCTGCAAGGATTGACTGGACATTGATTCTGTCTTTTGGGTCTGCGTAAAGACAACTGCTGCTCCTCCTGTGCAAGTAATGTCAGGTTGGAAATTGAATGAACAAATGAAAATTGCTAATACAATGTAACCTTCAGTACTTAGGGAAAAGTAATAACAAAAATTTGATTAAAAAAAGAGGAAAAAATTCAGAGATCTAGAAACTCTCCATGAGTTTGGTTGTTTCTAAACGTTTGTGTCTCTAAACAAAGTCAAACTACAACTGAACATGTTCTTAACTTTTCTGTACATAACTTCTGTATCTTAAGGTGGCCCTGAGAGATCAATTAGCTGCATCTTATGAAAACACATGCAAACAGACAAAACACAAGGAAATTCAGAAAACACATCAATCAATGTGAGAAACGAGCTGTAAATACTGACAACACAAAAACTAAAACTGATGAACCTGGCTATGAGACACTTTAATTTCATAAAGCATTGAACAACAACACTCCTAATATAACAACAATGAGGGAAAACAGGAAAGTCAGGAAGACAGAGGATGGTATGCAGAAAAGGAGCTAAAGGTTGGACTTGAACCTGCTGCGGTTATGACAACGCCTTCATGTCACGCCCTGTTCCAGGTGAGACACCTAAGGTAAGTTTCACTTTGAACCAACGTTGTGAGGCAGATTATTTTCTCTCTGAAGGTAATGTGAGCAGTTTTTAATGTTTTACTTGTTAACACCTGTCGTTACCTGAGTTATCTAACCTTCAACTCATCGTGGTGTTGTTGTTGTGTTATTATAATGTTACTGTAACTGAGTCAGAGCTGTAACTGTAAAGTCTGGACCGACATTAAACGTGTCCGCCATGTTGTGTTGATCTTCGCGGTAGAAGCGGGGCAATAAGAGTAGAAGTTAGTCGATGGTCAGTAGTTGAACACAGAGTCGTTATTTCTGTGTAGCTCCACTTACTGATGACTGGAGGCAGCTTTTCCCGCCTGAATCAGCCTGTGGAGGAGGCGGAGATGAGCCGCTGCTCTCCCGCTGTCTGAGCCACTAATCGCGGTCTGAGCTCGTCCGGACAGCCGCTGGAGAACAGCTGTGACTTTCTCTGTGGGTGAGTGGTCTGTCATTAGATTTACACTACAGGACTGATGTGGACTCAGTGTGGCGGGCTGAGGGGCTGACAGGGTTTTTAAGGCTCTATATGATGTTCAGAAAGACAGTTAACACCGCATCACATGAGTCACAGGCTCCTGGTTCTCCAACAGGAAGTAGTGTGGTTTCTTTATACCTATTAGTCTGATCAATACTTACTATTACTCCTTATCACTGATCAATACTGACTATTACTCCCTATCACTGATCAATACTGACTATTACTCCCTATCACTGATCAATACTTACTATTAGTCCCTATCACTAATCAATACTGACTATTACTTCCTATCACTGATCAATACTGACTATTACTCCCTATCACTGATCAATACCGACTATTACTCCCTATCACTGATCAATACTAAACATGTCATGTTGTTGTCAGAGCTTTACTGAGACTTTATTATTTATTTCACATTGATGGATCAATGTTCAGGATCAGATGCTTCAAAGTAACTGAGTACATCTACTCAAGTACAGTTTGAGGTACTTGTACTTTACTTGAGTATTTCCTTGTTCTGCTACTTAGTACTTGTACTGCAGCTCATGTACCTGACAGGTGTAGCTGCTGGTGACTTTCCAGCTGCAGGTTGTAGATTAAAAACACATGATCAGCATCAAACACATGATTAAAGATGAAACCACAGCATGTTTGTCCTGTGACTCTGTCGGTTCCATCAGCTCAGATTCATTTGAATGAATGAATTAGAAGAGGAGCAGCTGGACACTGTCTCTGTTTCCCTGATAATTCATGTCTGTAATTAGAGTCCTTCACAGGAAACTCTGTAGACAGTTATTAGGACTTTACACACCCATAAACACTCAACATTATTAATTATTAAATATAATATAAAAATGATGAATATTGTTATTAAGGATCTTTTAACAGTTGCAACATTTGTTACCAACATTTTTATGCAGAAAAATCAAGAAATCTTCTGTTTTTCAGCCTCAAACAAATGAAGATTTCCTTTTTTCTCTGTCTCATTTGATTGAAACTTAATATTTTTGGTCTTTGATTGTGCTCTGACTAAACAAGACATTTGAAAGACGTCACCTCAGACTGTGAGAAACTTTAATGGATCATTTGTCTCTATTTTCTGACGTTTTATCGAACAAATGACGAATTGATTGATGGAGAAAATAAGTGTCAGTCGCAGCTCTAGAGTCTTTTATAATGATTTAATTCTCAGTGTCAGTGAAATGATGGTAACGTTGTGATATTGGAGCTGTTGAGGTGAAATTAAATTCAGTCCCAGTTGCTGTGTGTGAAATAATCAGCTGTAGCTTGTTTCAGTAAGTCATTTTCTACAGGACGCTGTGACACAGAGACTGTGTCAGATAAACTCAGTGGATCTCAGTCCTTCTGTGAGTCAGTGGATGGAAAGAGTCGTCCATGATGGTGTGTTTGCTGGAACTGCCTTCTACTATCACTCGCAGCTTCATGACGCCATCTCAGTGGACTGATAGTAGAAGTACAGCAGCTGATGGCAGCTTCCTCTTCCTCCACGCTGCTGTCTGACTGCATTCATCTGACACTGATATGAAACAGAGAAGAAGAGCGCTCCAGTGGAGGAGCAGCTGATATTTTACAGGAGGAATGTGATGTAACATTTCAGTTGATGTGCAGATGAATGATGTGTGTTTTCCTCTGCAGATGAAGGTAGAAAGTGTGTGTGAGCTGATTGTGGATGTGAACTCAGCAGCGATGGATCAGTTGAGGACAGAGAGGAGGGAGCCCCTCCTCTAAAACCACTCTGTGTGGGGAACATGAGAGAAAGACCAGAGCTCAGAGGTGAGATGAGGATCTCTAACTGTCCATGACTCTTCTCCATGTCAGAGCTCAGTCAACTCAAGATCACTGCTCCATCATTATTCACACTCAAAGCTCTGTTGTGTTGTGTTGAAAGCAGAAAACAGCATCACAAGTTTGATCCAACATGCACATTCATCAGTTTCTGTTTCTGTTTTCAGGATCCAGCAGCAGAGACCAGACTCTCCTGAAACCAGCTGTCTGTCTTCTTTAAAGAAGCGATGAGTCGAAAGACTTTGTGCATTAACTTTAAAGGACGACGTCCATCAGCTGATCAGATGTAAGCTGTGAACATGACAGTAAGACTCAGGTTATTCTAGAATCTAGTTTGTACGACTGTTGTTTGACCACGTCTGAAATCAAAGAGGTTTCTGTCTGTTGTGAACGTCCTCACTGGAAGGTGGAGGTAAAACTCTGTGCGTCATAGAGAGAGGGGGGAGTGATGATGGTTTAAAACATGGAGATAACTTCTCCATGTTCACACAGTCTCTCTCGGAAGACATTCAAGAGTTGACCTCAATTGTTCACATGAAAAAGTGACAGAAACAGTTTGTGTGAAAGAGAAGTTCAAACCCGCCCATTCCTCACCTGCCACAGCTGACCAATCACTGCCTTGCTTTCAGGGCATGTCAGCAGTGTTCAGTGAGGGAGGGAGAGCTATATGGGGGTTGGTGAGAGCTGTTGGGACTAACCAAACTGACTGAAGCCAAAACTGAGCTGAAAGCTACAAGCAGTGCAGACTGAGCTGTTGATTCTCAGTTGGCGGATCATGCAGACGACGTCCCAATGTCAGTAAACCTTTACCACTACAGGAGTGTCTGATTGGCTGTCACAATCCAAACATGACTTCATGACTTTAGCTTGTGTCTGTCTCTGTGTGGACAGACATAATGTGAGCTCATTCTTCATGATTCCTCCACAGAGTGACCAGGAGAGCTCAGAGGTTCCAGTGCTCAGTCTGCCCAGCCATCAAACACAGCTGGCTCCCATTGCATATACCATATTTACCTCTGTACGCATACAACATACTGCCTCTGTGTGTTCACAATAATCTCTCATGCTGCACTTTCAGACCAGTGGGACTGTCAGATCTGTCCAACATGATCTGGATGTTGATGCTGTCACATCATATAGTTTCTGTTCAGCTGCTGGAGGAGAACATGGTCACTTTTGTGAAGAACGAGCTGAAGAACGATGCAGAAGCTTCTCGAGTCTCAGATACCAGCATGCTCAGGGAGTCCACGAGGCAGGGTATGAGGAAGGTGTTGGTACGCATGGTTGAGGCTTATGAAGAGACAGAGGAGGGAGCAGCAACGAGGCATTGTGAGAACAAGGAACTTCCTGAGGAGAATGAAGCAGGAGGAGCTGGCTGACTGGTTCGCAGAGCAGTTTCAACGAGGATTCTCTAAAGCATATCTCAACAGTTTGCAATGGGAAGTAAAATGAGTACATTTTAACCTAACATCGAACACATGGAGGAACATGTCATATATTTTTATTCTTTAAAAGGACTAATACTCGTTGTATTATATAGCCTATATGAACTCTAAGTTTTTTTATGTTTTATTTCAGAACATTTTGCTCAGTTTCAAACGTAAACTAAAATCTTAAACCTGAAGGAAGAAGTTCTACAGTTTGGGTTTGAAGGGGATCTCTAAAGCAGGAAACCCAACCCTTCTGAGGCAGATTCTACACAGACGCTCTTTACAATTCACTAGAGGGAGGACTGGATGACACGAGCACGTCCAAATGTACAATGATAGAGTTCAGGACAGATTGAACAGCCATCCAAGGGAAACCAGACAGCACCAGAAGACAACTCATGAGACGAACTGTTAACAAGACTGACAACGTGTTACAAACACTCCGACGACGCCATCAGCAAGCAGTGAAGACCAACAGGGAGCGTGCCTTGGCATTGGGAAAACAGTTCTTAACCACAGAAGTTCACTCTGGACTGGGCTGGAAGGGACAAAGACAACAAGGACATACAGTTCACCAATTTCCAGTTCACCTCAGAGAGAGCTGGAATGTGCGTGAGAAATGAAGAACGTTCAGCTTGTTGGAACTGTTCGATCACCTTCTTTAACTGAAACCCAATAGAAGCAGGATATCCTGCAGTAGTTTGATCAGTTCCAGGTCGTCTACGACGACGCGTGGTTCATCAACCTTTAGCCACAGGTACCTTGGTATTATTGCAGTGTAGACTTCCTCTGGACTTCCACAACACTGAGATCCTGACTGATGTTACAGAGTCCACCTCAGTGGACGTGCTGCTGACAAACCTCATCAGGGGGAAACTGCTTCCCTCTGCTCGCCTCTGGATAACCACACGACCTGCAGCAGCCAATCAGATCCCTCCTGAGTGTGTTGACGTGGTGACAGAGGTCAGAGGGTTCACTGACCCACAGAAGGAGGAGTACTTCAGGAAGAGGTTCAGAGATGAGGAGCAGGCCAGCAGGATCATCTCCCACATCAAGACATCACGAAGCCTCCACATCATGTGCCACATCCCAGTCTTCTGCTGGATCACTGCTACAGTTCTGGAGGAGGTGATGAAAAACAGAAGGAGAGGAGAGCTGCCCAAGACCCTGACTGAGATGTACATCCACTTCCTGGTGGTTCAGTCCAAACTGAAGAAGGTCAAGTATGATGGAGGATCTGAGACAGATCCACACTGGAGTCCAGAGAGCAGGAAGATGATTGAGTCTCTGGGAAAACTGGCTTTTGAGCAGCTGCAGAAAGGAAACCTGATCTTCTATGAATCAGACCTGACAGAGTGTGGCATCGATATCAGAGCAGCCTCAGTGTACTCAGGAGTGTTCACACAGATCTTTAAAGAGGAGAGCGGCCTGTACCAGGACAAGGTGTTCTGCTTTGTCCATCTGAGTGTTCAGGAGTTTCTGGCTGCTCTTCATGTCCATCTGACCTTCATCAAGTCTGGACTCAATCTGATGTCAGAGGAACAATCAACCTCATGGAGGTCTAAACTGTTTAGAAACAAATCAAGACATTTCCACCAGAGAGCTGTGGACGAGGCCTTACAGAGTCCAAATGGACACCTGGACTTGTTCCTCCGCTTCCTCCTGGGTCTTTCACTGCAGACCAATCAGACTCTCCTACGAGGTCTGATGTTACAGACAGGAAGTGGCTCAAAGACCAATCAGGATACAGTCCAGTACATCAAGAGGAAGATTGAAGAGACTCCCTCCGCAGAGAAAAGCATCAACCTGTTCCACTGTCTGAATGAACTGAATGATCGTTCTCTAGTGGAGCAGATCCAACAGTCCCTGAGATCAGGACGTCTCTCCACAGATAAACTGTCTCCTGCTCAATGGTCAGCTCTGGTCTTCATCTTACTGTCCTCAGAAGAAGATCTGGACGTGTTCGACCTGAAGAAATACTCTGCTTCAGAGGAGGCTCTTCTGAAGCTGCTGCCAGTGGTCAAAGCCTCCAATAAAGCTCTGTAAGTGTAGAGATGGTTCATTTATTTATCATTATAAAAAAATACTCCTGTCTTAACAACAGGAGAGAAAATAAATTCCTTTCTTCTTTAATTCCTCATGATCATCTCTTCAGACTGAGTGGCTGTAACCTCTCAGAGAGAAGCTGTGAAGCTCTGTCCTCAGTCCTCAGCTCCCAGTCCTCTAGTCTGAGAGACCTGGACCTGAGTAACAACAACCTGCTGGATTCAGGAGGTAATATGCTGTCTGCTGGACTGGAGAGTCCACACTGTACACTGGAGACTCTCAGGTTAGTGTTAAACTGTTTTGTATTCATAACTCTGACCTGTTCACTTACTTTAAATATTGAATATTCAAGTGTTTTTCCATGAATTCCTCTTCAGACTGAGTGGCTGTAACCTCTCAGAGAGAAGCTGTGAAGCTCTGTCCTCAGTCCTCAGCTCCCAGTCCTCTAGTCTGAGACACCTGGACCTGAGTAACAACAATCTGCTGGATTCAGGAGGCAATATGCTGTCTCCTGGACTGGAGAGTCCGCACTGTACACTGGAGACTCTAAGGTTAGTGTTAAACTGTTTTGTATTCTTAGCTCTGACTTGTTATTTACTTTAAATATTGAGAATGTGAATGTTTTTCCTTGAATTTCTTTTCAGTCTGAGAGACTGTAACCTCTCAGAGAGAAGCTGTGAAGCTCTGTCCTCAGTCCTCAGCTCCCAGTCCTCTAGTCTGAGACACCTGGACATGAGTAACAACAATCTGCTGGATTCAGGGAGCAATCTGCTGTCTGCTGGACTGGAGAGTCAACACAGTACACTGGAGACTCTCAGGTTAGTATTAATCTGTTTTGTATTCATAACTCTGACCTGTTATTTACTTTAAATATTAAGGGCCTGATTTACTAAGATCCCAAATAAAGAGTGCTAAATTGCGTGCGCACGAGGATAGATTGCGCGCGCTGCCTGTTTGGGCCTTGCGAGTGATTTTCTTAGATTAACAGCGCAATTGACTACAGGCGCAAAAGTGATCGAGCCGGCCCTATTTCAATGAGGATTTTGCGCGAGTTAAGGGTGTTCACCATGGCGAATGCAAACGAGCAGACCCAACGGAAGCGCAAATTTGAAGCCACAGAATTGGAGGTGCTGGTACAAGAGGCAAACAAGCACATTTCTGAGTTATAGCAAAGGAATTTAACCGTTATTAGGAGGAACACAATATGGGAGGCAATCTGTGACAAGGTTAATGCTGTGGGGAAAACCAAAAGAACACCGGATGAAATGAAGAAAAGGTGGCAAGACATTCGTAGAACAACAAAGGAAAAAATCGCACAGAATAACAAATCGGCAAATAAAAGAGGTGGGGGTCCGGCGGCGAGGACCCTCTGTCTCCCATTGAACAGCAGGTGCAGCTGACGTTCTGTGATGAGCAGATTACTGGGATAGAGGGAATATTTTTATTTCATTTAGGTACACCACATAAGACATGAACGTGCATCATGAACGTTCTTTAGCTGTGCAATGGAAAAGCGTAATTGCCAAAAGGGTTTTTTTTTGTTTGTGCGTTCCAGCAGGAAGTGTGTGTGTTTTAATTTGTTTTAAGTTTCAGGAAAAAATGATAGGAACTAGGCCGAACTAAATGTTTCCTATGTCTAAAAGAAAGTGGGCTTTAGTACATAAAAATGTTTTGTCGAAATAGCACAAACAAGAAACACTTGACATTATGATGCAACATTTATTATTTAAGGATTTTCTGAACTCTGAACGAATGACTTTTTTGTTTTTTTCTTTCTCAAAGGACAATCATGGCATCGCCGGATAACCGATATGTCTCGATTATTTTTTCTTCTGCCATTCCAAAAAGAGTGACACGGACAGAAAAGATGCGTTCTCTCCGTTGCCTGTCGCGCCTACGCCGCCTCCTTGCAACAATGACCGCAGCCATCTGTGCGCACGGCTGTGCCAGGTAGCCTAAGACTTGACTTTCAAACGTGCTAAATATAGACGCAAAAATAATCAGCGCAATTAGTTTGAGGTTTGGTAAATCACATTGTGTGCGCAAAATGATTCTATTTGCATCTACTCCTCCCAATATTTTGTGCGTTCTGGCAGGCACGCCTATATTGCATATTCATGAAGGCAGAAGTGCAAAATGGATAGCGCGTGTTATTTTGCCCAACTGACAGACGCAATCCTCGGTGCGCCCGGTTGGTAGATCAGCATCAACATGTGTTTGCGCGGGCTGTCGCGCTTGCGCACGTTTTTACGCACGCAAAGCTTTAGTAAATCAGGACCTAAGTGTGTGAATGTTTTCCTTGAATTTCTTTTCAGTCTGAGCAGCTGTAACCTCTCAGAGAGAAGCTGTGAAGCTCTGTCCTCAGTCCTCAGTTCCCAGTCCTCTAGTCTGAGACACCTGGACTTGAGTAACAACAATCTGCAGGATTCAGGGGGCAATCTGCTGTCTGCTGGACTGGAGAGTCCAAACAGTACACTGGAGACTCTCAGGTTAGTATTAAATTGTTTTGTATTCATAACTCTTACCTGTTATTTGCTTTAAATGTTAATTATGTTAATGTTTTTCCTTGAAATTCTTTTCAGACTGAGCAGCTGTAACCTCTCAGAGAGAAGCTGTGAAGCTCTATCCTCAGTCGTTAGCTCCCCGGCTTCTAGTCTGAGACACCTGGACCTGAGTAACAACAATCTGCTGGATTCAGGGGTCAATAAGCTGTCTGCTGGACTGAAGAGTCCACACTGTACCCTGGAAACTCTCAGGTCCGGATTCATCAACTTGTTTATCTGATGAGGGTTTAACAGAGCATTGACAGAGTGTTCACAGAGGTGCCTATTTGTGTGTATGTGTGTGTGTGTGTGTGTGTTCAGTCTGTCAGGATGTCTGGTCACAGAGGAAGGCTGTGCTTCTCTGGCCTCAGCTCTGAGCTCCAACCCCTCCCACCTGAGAGAGCTGGACCTGAGCTACAATCATCCAGGAGACTCAGGACTGAAGCTTCTGTCTGCTGGACTGGAGGATCCAGACTGGAGACTGGACACTCTCAGGTATGTACAGGCCTGCTGCAGACACACACACTGTCTGATGGAGGAGGAAGAGCTGAAACAGTTTCTGTCAGAGCTGATGACAGATCTCTACAGAAGAGCTTTGACTTCAACAACAACAACAGAGGAGTTTCCTCTTGATGACTTCAGTGTCTCATTACTCACTATGTCATATTTAGGAGAAGAGATCTCAGTGATGAAACCTGCTGTTGTCAGCTGTGTTTTGTGACCTAAGCAGGAATTTCAGCTTATTTGTCTCTACAGATGTTTTGTATCATGAAACATCTGTTTTCAGACTCTGTCTCTTGGCTCCTTAATGAAAACTATTCAGCAGCTGTAGCTTCA